TTAGCCTGGTGGTGGGTATTGAGGAGGGCACATTCTGCATGGAGCACTGGGTGTTATGCACAAATAATGAATCATGGAACACTTCATCTAAAACTAATGATGTAATGTATGGGGATTAACATAAGAATAAAATAAATAAATAAATAAATACAATAGATGTCACTAACTTATTTGTATAAGGAAACATGGAACAAATACTGCATATTGACAAGTAACTAATGGCTCCCATTACAACATATTGTCCCCCCCCCATAGCTTAAGCTGGTAAACCCAGAAAATTACTGCACAGTGATAAAGCCACCAAAAACTTTGGTTTATCTCCACTTCCGACAGTCAGAAATATGCTTAGTTCAGGACCACAGACTCTACATGTCAACCTGCAAATGTCTACAACTACTAAATAAGAGAAGAGAGCGAATATATCTGGTGTCAGGATTTCTGAAAATATGGTATTTATACTACTGATGGTGGGCCAGATAGTTCTAGGGAGTGAGAAAGATCAACTTAAAACATTTAATAGTTATATATTTATGCGTATTAATGTGTATTTAATATATAAGTAGCACATAGAGTTTATGTTTCATGATTGTTATAGCTTACGATAGAGCTAAAATAGGAAATTAGGCTTTTAAAGTAAGCCCATTAAAAAAAAAAGTGTCAATGGGACAGAAAATCAAGAAAATTGTTAGTGAATGTCTCCATCAGATATCAGCATAGTAGTAACTACAAAACAAAACAAATTCAGTGGCATACAACAATAAACAAGCATTCCCATGCTCTCATGTGGTCAGATGGGGCAGTTCCCTGCCGTGTTTCTTGCTGTGCAGCAGGTCTACCTGGGGCACATTTTTCTCATTAAGAAAATGAGAAGTTCCCAGAGGGATGAAAACACATATGTGTGAAAACACATGACGTCTTTTAAGTCCTAGCCCTGGAAATGATACACTGTCACTTCTGCCCAGTTTCCAATGACCCAAGCAAGTCATTCGGTCATGACCAACATCAGTGGGATGGAGAAGTATGCTGCTCCCATGGAGGGTGGAGTTGGGGGAACGAACATTTGCTAAGCAATAATCTAACCTAACTTAACCATCAGAGCCAATGATTGAGGTGTTAGGGTATCAGGGTTAGTGAAATTCATCACCTTAATGAAGAAGGCATATCAAAGCCAAACCCTCAT